TCTTAAACTCGAACCCTCCCTTAAAAGCTTCGAAGACCCCAAACAATTTGCCTACAGACAGGGTAGGAGTACTTTAGACGCTGCAGCCGTCTTACACAACAGTATTGTCTCATCATTAGACAAAGGTGCCAAATATGTCCGCTGCACGTTTCTTGACTTCACTTCTGCTTTCGACTCTGTACCTAGAAGTCTCTTGCTAAATAAGCTCTCCATGACACAAACCGAGTCCTGGGTCACTAACTGGTTGCATTCCTACTTTTCAAACAGAATGCAGTACACCGTATACAAAGGCAATCCTCCTCTGCTGTGCTCACTGAAGCTGGTGTCCCCCAAGGTGCTGTACTCTCCCCACTTCTCTTTTCTTTCTTCCTACATGACCTACCGTCTTCAAATGACATTAACTTTGTCAAATATGCTGATGACCTAACTGTATCTTTACCTGTCAAATGTCAAAGTGACTGCTCTAAACTAAATGGCTTCTTATCAGAAATTAGCCAATGGTCCAAGGAAAACGGTCTAACCTTAAACCCCTCCAAATGCCAAACAGTTAATTTCACCTTTAGGCATAAATCTGACCTAAACAAACTGGTTAGCACTCACGAGGTGTGCAACATAGATGGCACTGAAATAGAAACCAAGTCGGAAATTAAATACCTAGGCGTCACTCTATCTTCTGATCTTTCCTGGTCGTCTCATATCTTGACGATTTCCAAGAAAATATACCGTCTTACCTTCTACATCAAGAAGTTAAGACATTCTGGTGTAACCCAACCCTTACTCCTACAATTTGTTAACTCCCGTATTCTGCCTATTATTCTCTATTGCTCCCCCTTAGTCTTTCCTGGGCTATTGAAGAAAGACTATACCTTATTACGTAGGATGTTAAAGGTTGTCAGCAGGGTAAGCAGTTTGCCACTTAGCCAGCTTGTTAATATTCTGGTGGACAGGCACATGGACTCATGTGAAAAATGGGCGAAATCCATTTTATCTGACTCACAACACCCTCTACATTCACAACTCTCCCCATGTATCTCTTCAGGGAAAACAAGAAGCCTATATAGGAAACTATATGCCCGCACTAGTAAGTACAAAAACTCATCCATACCCTACCTAGCTCGTGTTCTGTGCGATAAAGAATGCATCAGGCATGAAACCTTTAACTTATTAAATAGTCAGTAGAACAATGGATCTCGTCTTTCCAACTCACATCATTTATAGGTACAACGTTTTCTCTCTCTTCATTCTGTATTTATTTTTGTTATGTGCTGTTTTGTTTCTCTCTTCCTTGCAAACTCTACTTAAAACATTCTTGTTCGTTCTTTCACACTCTGTATATCTCGACCATTTTGCTATCGCTTACGCCAGTAAATATGCTAGTAGTATCTACTTTTCTAACACCTTCAAACACTATTAAATTTTGGCTTTGCTACCGACATGCTAATATGTTGTTGTCAAAACTGACTGAGATAACTTTAATCTATGTAGAACTATATTTATTGTTAATGTACCAACTGGATGCAATATTGTAGTAAAATGCTGAGAATTCCATTCTGTATCACAAGTACTGATTTGGAATAAAGCTTATCTTATCTTATTTGATATTCTCACTCCGTGTTTCGAATATTTTTGACTTTATATCGTAAGCGTGGACAAATTCCTCTGGTTACTTTTGCTTTAATTTTATTTATATTTTAAGTAAATCAGATGCAATATTGTGACAAATGCTGAGAATTCCATTCTGTATTATAAGTACTGTTTTTGGAATAAAGTAAATTATTATTATTAGTAAGTATAGTACTGGTCAATACTGTTTGAATACAAATCATTACAATGAACTTTCTAGAATGCTTAATCCTCTGAGCTGTATAGGTTGCCAAGCCAACCACCACAAGGTCAAGAGAAACTATGACTCCATACGTTGAGGAATATATTTGGACAAAATAGGACATTAAGAAGAGAAATATCGTAAGATGACAATATCATCTCGTGGTTTCTCTACAGTCGCCTTACAAATGGCATGGTTCATCACAATAATGAAATAAAATGTATGAACAATTACTCAGTTATATCAAACAAAAGTACATACTAATGACCAATCCATATTTAAATAGGTCACGTAGTCCAGCGTGTAGGCAAAGATTGAAGTCTATTGTCTTCTGTATACATAGAGAGTTTGGAATGTATATGATTCATTCAAGGTGCTTCCATGCTCACCTTTAATAAATAACCTTGAATGTAAAGTAGTCTGAGAAGCAGTCATTAATTAATATTGATTTTGTGAACTGACACTAATGAATGCCTTGCAATTTCTTTTCAGATTAATTAGATTTTGATTTTCGAAGTATCCTAATAACCAAATTGGAAAGTGTGTTTTTTTCGATGCTATTGGAACATGTCACTGCAACTGCAGGTGAGCTTGTAGATACAGTGTGAAGTTAGAGTCTGCATAGAATTTTCCCTTTTAATTGTAAAACATGCTAGTTGTCAAGCGATTGTAATGAAACTACGACATGATATCAACTGGCAATATTTGTCTCCTAAATGCTTTATATTTAAATTTATCAAAGGGATTAACTGTTTTATTTCTTACTAGGCAATACTGCTCAGTTTTCAAGAATTAGTTTGATGTATTAGCGCTATACATTTCGAACAATCTGATCACACATTTACTTGTCAAGTCAATATATATCTTTAAAAAAAAAATTTTCCTTTTTTTTCGGAGGCGATGGCTTGGCATACGTAACACATGTCCTAACCATCTCAGTCGATGTAGCTTCACGACTTCGTCGATTGATTTCCCCTGTTTACCTAGAACTCTACGCCTAACCTCCATGTTGCTCACCTTATTATGCCACTTTACACGGGAAATAGAACGCAGGCACCTATGATCAAAGACAGCTAGTCTTTTCATGTCTTCCACTCTGAGTGGCCAGGTCTCACAACCATACAGGAGGACGGAGCGGACTGATGAGCAGTACACCCGCCCTCAAGTCAATATATATGAAAAAGTTAAATTAAACAAAGTGATAAAATAAAAGAATTAGGAATAATTAACACAATCGTTTGGTAATCCAATCAGATAAGGATTATTACGATGGGTTAAGAGTAATAACAAACTGTTTTTGAATACCCAAGGGGGACTTAAGTCTATGAATAGCTATAGCCTCAGCGTATTTCAGTAAACGCCCTTGACCGTTTTTATAGATGACCTTAAAGGCTGAGTTGACATCGATCTTATGGTTCATCTCGATTAGATGTTTAGCTATAGACGAATTTGGTAGTCTGCCACCTGCATCTATTAGCTTGTCACAATTCATCTGTTTTTCTAACCATTTTTGGGATATACTCTCCCACCCTCACGTGCAAAGCGCGATTACTCCTCCCTATGTATGTATGTCCACACACACACGAAAATTGGTAAATTGTATGGGATGTGATATAATCACTTGTGCACTTTTGGGGTTTACAGTGAAGCATATTTTTAGCTTTTTCCACAATTACAAGCTGGGCTGCATAGTAGGTTCTACGGATGATTGAATTCAACCTTTGTCTCAAAATCCTACTGTTTATTTCCCCGTTATATGGTAATTTGATAAAAACCTTTTTCTTAGGGACGGTATGGATTGTAGGTTTAGAGGCTAGTTGACTTCTACACCTGTTTAAAAATTTCAAAGGATATCCGTTTTCAACAAGAGTATCCATTAATATTTCGTTTTCTCTTTCCATAACATCAGCCGTGCAAATACGCTGAATCCTCTTGAATAAACACTTCACCAAGCCCCTCTTATACTGTAATGGACAGAAGCTGTGAAAATTAAGGTACTGCCCTGTCCAAGTGGGCTTTCTGTAGATAGACCGTCTTATTGAGCCATCACCTCTTCGACTCAGAAGTATGTCTAAAAATGCAAGCTGGTTGCGACTTTCTTCCTCACATGTAAGACTAATATGATTTTGTACGGAGTTAAGTCTGTCTAATAGGCGACCCGCATCTTCATGATCGTCACATATCAAAATGATATCATCTAGATATCTCCTATAGAAGGGCAATTCTGAAATTAAATCAAGGGATAAGTTTTCAATATAAGACATGTACACGTCCGCTAACAAAGGTCCCAATGGACTCCCCATAGCAACGCCATCCACTTGTCGAAAATGTTCGCCTTCACAATTGTGTGACAATCATTTTCCTTGTCTGGAAAATACAAGTATCATCGTAAACCTGCTGGTCTTCTGATTTCCCTCTTTCCGCGTCAGGACTATTAACTACTCGACGAGTACATAACAGGCGGGAGTCCTTTAGATAGTAAAATCTAATGGTTGGAGACAATCAGTGATATGACTCAAAATCGTTCTCAACGGCGCAGATACACTGACTCTTTGTGATTTATTAAGTGCAATATAACTCTATTTTACTTCCATATTACTATTTCCTTTCTCTCACTCACTTCTATTTCTTACCTCTCTTCTGAATCTCTATTTACTCTCTTCTCTTGGCTTGTGTGCTACAAGGAGGGAGTGTGACAATTCGAACTGCTGCACATTTGTGCAAAGTTCTACGTTGAAACCAGAGAGTCTACCAATCCGTGGATGGTAGTCGCGCTAAAATCACAAATTGGTAGGAGTTAGAATTCATAGACTGGCCATTGAGGAGTCGGGTCCCAGTGGCTGAATGGTCTACGAGCTTGTCTTGTTACTGGAAGGTCCTGGGTTTGAACCCCCCCTCCCGTGGTAGGTGGTGCCTACTGCCAGTGACTCCTAAACTAGGCTGACAAAACAGCTGTTCAGTACTCTGTGTTGGCTTTAAGTGGTTCTCTAACTGATATCAATCCATGATTTAACCTGAAACAAATACTTACTTACCACAGATCGTACTGGCACAGATATACTCCTGATACGTTACTTTAGTCATATTGAAGTAAACATTTCTTAGTATATTTCTTTTCCTTATAATACTCTGCGACTTCAAATATATTATTTCCAATTTTCTTATTTTTATTCTTACAACTTCCCACTTATTATGTGGATATAGGGGGTATTAACCTTAACAGATCGAAAGTAAAGCCCTAGATCTAAGTTTTAAAAGAATGAATGCAAATGATCCTTAAATAACAATCTCGGTCTTTCAGCAACAAGTTTATAAGTAGTATAGCAGTAGTATTTTGGTGTGATGCAGATTGATAGGAAAGCGGCTAAAAAAAAGCTGAAATCAACAAACTTTAAATCAATGGCCGCTACAGAGGTAGATGTGTCTACTCCTCAAATCTATACTTAGTTTACGTTGTGGACATGAAATCACCTCATTGGACAACTTGGCTAACCTTGGATCGACTGCCAACCAATCAGAACAGTTTATTCCTCTCTAACATAGATAACTTTAATGTGGCTAAGAATGCAAGAATATGATGTCGTTTGTCATAATAAAGCTTCGTGATCAAGTTTCTTGTCTTCTTCCTTTACATTCCTTTGGAAAATAAAGATCCCCCAGTCTGATGCTTTCGAAGAGGAAACTGTACCGAGCTTCTTATGGGACTTCGATGCTATCATTGAGATGGTGAGCGTGAAGCATCCGACGGTGAAGACGATTGCCCAGGGGACGCTGCTAAGAAATATGGTGTAAGGCAGTTGTACGATGATAACAAGACGCAACAAGATTAGGTAACACCAAGAAGGTTGAAGCGGCTTCACTCGTAACTATTTGAAGATGAACGGAGTGTGGCGTGTGAGTGTCATCCAGATCGATAGAAAGTGGCCAAAACACACACACACACACAACTGAAATCAATATTTTAAATCAATCGCTGCAACAGAGGTAGAAGTATTGATTATCCCTCAAATCTGATTTTAGTTTACGGTGTGGACATGAAACAATCTCATTGGACAACCTTGTTTAACCTCGGAGCAATTGATTGCCAACCAATCAGAACACATAGCTTATTGCCATGAATGCATTATTTATGTGTTCAGTGTGCAGCACACACACTCTTTCCTTCAGATGAAAGGAAGCCAGTGAATTCATCAATCGGCATAAATGAATGATGATGGTATAAATATTATATACCATAAAAAGGAAAGGGATACACACAAAACTTTTCACTATAACAGAATTTGTAGCACTATAGTATGCATGAATAAGACTCGACGACAATGGGGGGAGGGGGGGGAATAAGGGACAGGATCGAGCGAGACGGAGGGGATGAGTTAAATGAAAAGAATATTAGAAATGACACATCACAAGTTAGATTAGATATATATGCGAAAAGACTTTTGTTTACATGGAAAAGCACAGAAACAAAACACGCCAAATTGTTCAGTACACTTTTGATTGCACAGAGAACACAGTCAAAACAAGATGAAGCGCAAAATTAAGATTGACTGTACAACAACCACCATCACCACCACAAAAATAGTCCACATGAAAGTCTATTCGCAAATAATTGAAGGGAAGACAAAGGAAGACAATCTGCGTTAGAATAATAATACTAATTTTCGGAGGGGGTGCGCGGGAGATGGACAAATTAAAATATCATTCATACCATTCCATTATTGTATATCACAAAACAATTAATTATTGATTGTAAAATAATGTACTCCACTAGAGTAGGGGGGAGGGAAGGATGTGAACTTATAGCTGCCTGTCTTGAATGCGTGCATAAGCATATGTCCATGTATATATATGTGAATAATTATCTTCATCAAAATATTAAATCCAATACCTGATTTTTAAATGTCTCCACAGGACAATAAGGACATTTCATTCGACTAAAATCAGAAAAAAAAACATACAACAGCAATCAGCACCGGTAAAATAACTTCAAGAAATAGAATGTTCGTATTAAAAAGTGGAAAAAAAGCGCTTCGACTATAACCTGTTCCTTCAGCAGTACTTACCCATCATCACATGGCGTTTCAACTCAGGACCTACCGGTTTACAAGACGAGTTCATACTGTTGAAGAGTCCCAAAACTGGGACGAAACAGTTGTCCAGTACCCTCAGGCTTTTCTAACCGATATCAATTTGTGATCAAACTTGTAACCAATCAAATCCTTCCAAACTAACACTGGTTAAATATTCGATTTTTTATTTGACAGCATTCATCACAACTGGGTGGCATTATGCGGTGAGAGCTGGCTGCGAACAAGCCAAAATTGTAGACAGCAATTTTTATCAATGTTACACCCTGAATCAGGGTCATGAGAAGAAAAACAATAACAAAGCTTAACGATAAGCAACCCAACAACCGACCACAGCAGATTTAACGTGTGCAAATACGATTCGCAGATATATGGCTTAACTTTCTAAGAAATGGTCACAAAGAGATGACAGAATAAACTTCGGCAAGAAGACAACCAATAAGATGTTGCTTCTCCACTGACAATAAAGTACATAAAAGTCTATAGATATCTGTTGATTTTCTCAATAAACGATATGTTGCCTGGTCCTTGTTCTCACGCCTGGTGAAATATTGTAGCGGAATTGAACTTTCGGAAGTTATTCTCATATACCCTTAATTGGTCGGTGAGTACCTCGATGAAGGCGAAATGTTTGTCAGGTGGGGCTTTCAGGCCAAAAACGAAAATGAACTAAAATGCATAGTAGTGAAGCGTGACTCAGCTAAAAGGGACCAATTAGCATATATGCCTGACTAATTATATAATTTGAAGAGTTAGTTTGTAGGGATTGGATATATCCTTCAAGTTTGACGACAGATTAAGAGACAACCAGTTAGAAAACCACTGAAAACCAATAGTAAGTACTGGACAGTTCTTTCGTCCATGCAGTTTAGGAGTTATCGGCAGTACACACCACCCACCACGGAGGAAGGGTTCGAACCCAGGACCTTCAAGTTAAAAGACAAGCTTGTAGACGCCATTATTCAGCCACTGCGACCTGATTCAATAGACTCCGATCAACAAATAAACGAATAAACACTTTCTCCATTGACAGAATTCGGTGGAGCATAAGCACTAGACGTTATTATTATTATTGTTTCCTTTAGTTCTTAGAGGAACATAGAGCTTCAGCCGCACGTCTCCATTGCATTCGGTTCTCTGACAACCTTTTCACCTGGCTCCATGTCTGCCCACATGCTTTCATCTCCTCTTCCATGTCACTCTCGCACTGACGACCAACTCGCCGCTTCCCAACCGGTCGGGTTCCACTCGAGCGATGGTCTGGCGTGTGATGTCACTCACTTGATGATTTGTTTTCCCAGAGTATAGCCAATCCACCTCTATTTCTTCCTGCATGCATAGTTGTTGCACAATCGGTTCCTGCTGGGTTGGTTCGCTCATTGCCAGAGATCCCTCCCTGTAGCTGATCTTTTCTGGCCGGCCACCTGATCTTGAATAGTATTGAGCGAAGACAGATGTTGAGTAAGGTCTGTATTTCATTCGAAGTGCCCTTCGTGACGCGGTGCCAAGTCTCTGATCTGTATAATAGCACTGACTTCATAATGGAGTTGAAAATCCGGATCTTACTCTCATTTTCAGGGTGAGTGCTGTTGAACTCCACACAGACTTGAGAGTAATGAAAGCTTGCTTTGCTTTCCCGATCGTCACTGCTTTGATATCCTCATTAGTTCCATCCACCTGTAGTTGAGACGATGCTTCCCAGGTAGGTAAGTAGGTAGGTAAAGGAGGTTGCTTCTTCCAGATTTCTCCCACTTATGCTGGCTGATTGTTGTTTGTTGTTGTTGTTGCTGTGGCTGTTGGTCAGGAATCTTCATCACCATATCTTTTTTCTCTATGTTCACCTGAAGTCCTTCCTATCTTTGATGGTTCTTCTGTCAACTTATTACTTTTCACTTTCATATCCTCCACTTTGTGGGAGATCACACATATATCATCGGTGAAGTCCAGACCCTCCAAGTTTTTTTGCTTGGGTCCATTTTATGCCTGTCTCCTCGTCGCCCCGCCGCTGTTTGTCGCATTATCCAGTCTACCAAAATCAGGAAAATCATTAGAGATAGTAGGCAGTCAGCCAGCTTGTTTGACTGCCGTCTTCCCTTTGAAGGATAACGTGAATTTCCCGTTGTGAATTACTTGACATGCAGTATTGTCGTACAACTGTTGGATGAGATGTATAATTGTTGGTGGCACCCCATATTAGCGAAGTAGTTGCCAAAAATCACCTCTCGATCAACCCTGCCCTATTGAAGGCGTTTTCAAATTCAATGAAGCTGAAATAGAGATATAATAAGAGCGGTTGAATATGTGACAGTAAAATTAGTGCAGCAGTTCGAGTTGCCACCTTCTAAATAGCACACAGAGGTAGACAAGAAGATGAGTGTAGAGAATCAATACAGTCTGACAAGTATAAGAGTGAAACAGAATGGTTAATGGTAGAAAGGAATATGAAAGATTACAGAGACTGAATACATCTGCGCCATTGACAACGATTTTGATCCATGTCACCTATTGCCTCCAGCCATTGATTCCTAGAGTCCCGAGGCCCCCAACCCGGGAGTCTGCATCTCCTTACCTACCTTACTCAGTTTAACTGTCAAGGATTTCATGGATTGATGCCATGTTTTTGTTTGGCCACCACTTACTCTTTTCCAACCTGAACCTATATCAGCTAGCAATGCCCGTCGGGGGAGGCGGTGGTTAGGCATGCGCAGCACGTGACCTAGCCATCTTTATAGCCTCGTCGATTGATTTTCCCTCTTTGCCCAACACTCTACGCCTAACGTCAACATTACTTACCTTATTAAACCACCTAACGTGAGATAGAGATCGCAGACATCTATGATCGAAAGCAGTCAACCTTTTCATGTCTTCAACGCGTATTGGCCATGATTCAGAGCCATAGAGAAGGACGGAGCGAACTGATGAGCAGTACACACGTCCCTTGGTTGATAACCGGATGTCACGCCTACGCCAGAGATGGTGTAAGTCAGCAAAAGCAGCTCGAGCTTTTCGGATCCGTGCTGAGATTTCATCGCCAATCAGTCCGTTGGTGCTAATACAACTTCCCAAATAGGTGAAGTGGTCAACATGTTCTATCACTTCACTCCCTATCACTAAGTTAGGGGTTGACGTGGTCCAGTCCTGTAGCAGCATCTTACATTTTGTAGGGGCGAATCGCATTCCAAACATACGAAGATTGCTGCTCAAAATTAGTGTAATTATTCAATCACATGAAAACTCTTTCATGTGGGATATGTCAGTTCCACTTCTTAACACGACAATAAACACAATCCTATTAAACTTAAAAATCTCAAAAGGATAAACAAGAACAGCAAAACAAACTGATGATCACATAGTGCCTGGGCACACCACACAACATACAAAAGCTTCAAATATAAAAACTTTAATAATAAATGAATGGATGAATGAATGCACAAAGGATGCCTAACCTTCTATCACCACTGGCTAAAGAATTGAATGCATCCCTGGATATAGCATGACCGCATGTTAAGCGTACAGGACCACCACTAGTGGCATTACCATCATTTGAAGCAGATACCACTTCTTTAATAACAGGACAATGGAATATATTATGCCGATGAGCGCTTGGATCCAGTTTCACTGAAATCTATAAAAAAAAAGAAAAATTGATACACAAATATTTAGAACAACATATTTAGGCGAACAATATTGTGCTTTCAATTAGATCTCATCAGGATTAACTATAATATACATATAAAAGTTTACAAATAGAATTCTAATATAAACCAACCATGGCGTTTTGTCTATTTATTTAATTATTTATTTAAACGCAGAAGAAACTTGGTACAATATGGCACCAAGAAAGATGCGCTACACAATAATAATAATAATAAAACAACATGTATCAAAAGCGAAAAAAATATAAGTAGAGAACGGATAAAGAACTTCATCTGGAAGGAAAACACTCATACTTAACAAGTTCAAACAGTATTCGTTAACTATCATCAGGAAGGGAAGAAAGAAGGAAATTGCCATTGCACGTTTGCCATTGATTGCAATTCTTGGCCATATCCGACAACGTTTCGAGCTATCTCTCAGACCCCAACCAGGGAGTCGTGACGCACCAACCGATGCTAATCTAGCACAAACACCCTTCATCCCACGACGCCACGTCATGGACTGACCACCCCTCCGCCTTTTCCATCCCGTCCCACGGCCGGCTAGCGAACAGAGACCTGTACGGAAGCCTCTGGGATGACATTCGCAGCACATATCCAAGCCACCGGAGCCGGTGTTTCCAGATGACGACACTCAATGAATGGTGATCTCCACTGTGTTCAAACACACACATCGCCGAACCTCAGAATTACTCACGCGATTATGCCATCGAACGCAAGCAATCCTGCGGAGACAGCGAGTGATGATCGAACACGCAGAGTCGCCGCACATCCTCAGCCTACTCGGAGAGGCCAGGTTTCACAGGCGTAGAGCTAAACAGCCCGCACCGAAGCATTCTATACTCCGCTAGCACTCACACAACTAACCAGATACACGAACTTATCAACAACTTCAAGCCGTTCACCCGCAAGAGTGAGTGCAGGTACAGGCTCCTGCCAGCAATCTTGTAACAGTACTTTGCACTTAGACGGCGCAAAGTACATACCATACTTTTGTCTATAGGATAATAAAATGGTGAATATAAATTGTGCAATTAGTCATAATAGTAGTAGTGATAATAATAATGGCCTTATCAATAATAAGGATGAAAAAGTGGGGCAATCTGTGATAACACAAATAATGAAAAACAGCATGATTAAACAAACAAATGTTCAGGTAGACGTAGTAGTCGATAAAGGCACACAAATATTTGTCAGTTGAAGTAAAACAGACGTAGATAATTCAGTAATATTTTGTAACATCACAAACCAATAGATTGAAGCGATACACACACACACACAAAGACAAGTAAAGGGATGCCTCTGATATCAAAGCAATACTATATCCATATGCACTATGATATGAAAATTGAGGAGTGATATGTAAGCCTAGCTTGGTGTTAGTGCCTGTATTGCAGTATTGTTACTATTCCCTTAGGTTCCGCCGAGTGGAACATAGGCCTTCGATACCACATCTCAACTTCGTCGCATTCTCTGCAGTCCTCTTCATCTGGTCACATGATTGCCCATAATCTCTTACCTCCTCGTTATACGATCTCCTCTATGTCACCCTCACGACCCACACCCAAATCGTCGTTCCGAATTAAGAGTTACACTCAAGCGATAGCCTGGCGCATGCGTCCGATAAATCTCCATCTTCTTCATCCTAATTCTTGACCAATAGGTTCTTGATTAGTTGGTTCCTAGGGTTTCTTGTTGCTGATTCTTTCTAGCTGACTAGCCGTCTGATCTTCAGTATGGAGCCACTCAGCGAAGTTAGAAGCTATTAATATATGTGTAAAACTTGGGCACTGTGGTAGTAAGTAATTCCATATTAGTTTGTTTATTAGATATATCACACAGTGAAACAGTATTAGTATTTACTGGATGACGTTTCGAACAAAATTTATTGTTCATAAGACAAGAAATGATACACATAAAAGAAGTCTTGAAACTCAATAATTATCCGGATAAATTAGTCAGAAAATATGTAAGTAAATGTAAAAATAAAATAAATAATGATAGTAGCGATAGTGATCACAGTAATAATAATAACACTAATAATGACAATAATAATAGTGGTAATGATAATAATATTAATGACGACACCAACAATAAGGAATCTAAATCATCAACAGTCATTTCATACAAGGAAGGAATCTTGGAAACCACCTTCCGCAGAATTCTTAACAAGGCAGGAATAAAAGTGGCTGGCATTCAAACCACCCACAAACTCAATTAGAAACAAGCTTTGTCGGTAAAATGGTGGATCCTGTGAAGCCTTTAAAACAAAACAATTTAGTTTATCTAATACCCTGCTGGAATGATTTTCAGGTCAAATACATAGGTCAAACTAGTAGAACAGGGGCAGTCAGACTACCTGAACATAAAAACTTAGCAAAATCTAGATTGGTTGACCCAAATAAGATAAGAAATCTAGAGAATATTTCAGCTATAGCACTATACCGCATGGAATTACACACAACCATACAATAGGATGGGACAGGATGACAGTTTCAAAATCTAATGTAACAGCGGGGTGGAGGGAGAGATTGATAACAGAAGCTTTGTTTATCAAATCAACTGCAAATACATGTGATAGGAATGATTCATCACCTGTCCGTGATATCTGGAAAATTCTACTACCCCAACGACGACAAATAGGAGAAAACAAAGAAAACTATGAAAATCAAGTTTCAAAGTCATGTGATTACAACTGATATGATTATGAACAATAAATTTTGTTCGAAACGTCATCCAGTAAATAATACTGTTTCACTGTGTGATACATCTAATAAATAAACTAATATGAAGTTAGAAGCTGTTGATAAATTTCCGCAACAACCTGTTGAAAATGCTTTCCACGACGCGGGCGCCAGTGCAAGTTTCTCACCCCCTATCGAAGAAGTGACTTGCTGGCTGACCGAACTTTCTTCTTTATTCCGAGTGAAGAAAATTCTTAAACTGATTTCAGAATGATGAAAGTCACTCTTGCCTTTCCGATCCTGACTGGTTTCGACATCCTATTATTATCACGATTAATTAGTTCGCAGTTTCTTGATATATATTCAAGTGTTTTCACTCACTGATAACTAATTGCTTATTTAAGTGATGTAATTGTGTGGTTGGTGAGAGCTGTCTGCTAGCCAAAATTGGTAGACAGCAATTCACATCAATGTTTACGTCCCAAATCTTGGTCATCAGAAAAAAAACAAGAACAAAGACTAACTCAACAACCAATCACAGCAGACTTTGCGTGGGCGGATGCGATTCGCAGATATACGGTCTGACCTTCAAAAGAACTGCCACAGAGAGATGACAGAATAACCCTCAGCAAGAAAATAACCAATCGAAAAGACGCTGCTTCTCTGCTAATAATAACGCTAATAATAATGGACATAAAAATATGTAAATATCTGTTGAATTTCTCAATAAACGATCTATTGTCTGACTCTTATCTTCTATCGTTACAATTGAGCCATAATGCATTTTATCTTAATTTTATATCCAGCTGAAGAAGAGTAGTTCTACCGAAATTCGATAAATTCATTAAATCCTGTTTTATTATTATTATGATTTCAACTGATACAATAAAAGACTCACAGGTAACATGTCACCATCTAGTGAACTATATTTACTTAGACAAGCAATAGCACGTTGTAATGAATGCAGACGTGTAAGTACACGACATCCAGATGAAAATGCCGTGAGCAATGGATCAATATCTGATAGATTTAATTGATGACAACAACGTGCTCTAAATAAATTTGCTGCTTCATTTAAAGCACTACAACTATCTGTTTTAGGTTTACTAGTAGTTCCAGATGACGATGTTGATGCTGTTGACGTTGACGCTGTTGATACTGATGACAAGGAACATCCTTCATCACTCATATGAACATCTTCAGGTTTTTGTTGACAGTTGCCTTCAGATGATGATGACACGCTAGCGAAACTGGTTGGTAATGCTAAATCCGCGTATGGTGTATCTTCTAAACTACGTCCAATAAAAACTAGACTTCCCATAAGATGTTCAAAATCTGTAAGAGTATTAAAATAATAATAAAAATAAACAAGAAATAGAACATAACTGTAAAAATGTAATATATATATAAAAATCAGACTCCATTTTATATAATCACCTATAAAAAATTGTATAGTTCACTAAGTTCGTTATGCACGTAAATCCAAATGTTCACTGGTGCAATCAAGAATAACATACAGAGTAACTACTCAAGAACCCCCCCCCCCTCATACAGATTCATATATAACAGACAATAAGCTACACACTGTGAAAACAAATGATACCACCTGGTTCTCCAGACTCCAGTATAGGTGGAATTGAGAACAGATGGTCACGTGTCTAGATCACTGATTCATAAACCCATAAATGCCATAATGGAGTCAATATCGTGTCCATAATTTATTCAGTATTCCACGACTGTAGGTAGCTCTGGGGTGATTTTCATCTCACCAAAAATTGGGACTGAAAATTTTGGATACCTAAGAGTAGCAGTTGGTGGGTCGGTGGCACAGCCGTTGGGACGTTCGCCGACCATGCACATGGTCTGGGGTTCGATCCCTGGCCGACGATGCACTCCTTTCTTTTACCGCACCACACAAATAATAAGACTAGTAAGGAGGGAAGGTTGGACATCAGGCTAGCAACCCCGTCCTGTAAAAATAAAAACCACTGCTACAGAAACTTCAAGCCTTTAGCTTGGAGCCCTATGTTCCACTGGGAACGTGAAGGAATTAATAATAATAATAATAATAATAAGCAGTTCACGCCCCTCTTCTTGGAGAGATATCCTCAACCTATTTACACACAAATTCAATAACCCCTCAACCCGAAGATATCTGAACAAACAACCGAGGTCAAATGACTCAAGATGCTGTTTAAATTAGCAACATTTTGAAGAACCCAGATTCACTAATCAACTTCACTCTCTCTCTCCACCTGCCTAAATTACTTCTTAGAATTGTAACCCTATCCCATCCACTCTATTGTGTGGCTGTGTGTTATTGCATGCGGTGCAATGTAGTGCTGAGCTTTTTTCTAAATTACCTATCTTCTCGGGGTTAGCCATTCTTACCTTAGCTAAATTCTTATGTTCCGACAATCTGATTATCCCCCGATCTACTAGTATGACCTATATAGTTGAACTCACAGTCATTGCAAGGTATTTTGTAAATATATACATTTATATATATATATATATATATATATATATATATATATATATACCCACTGTATAACAGTGAACACGATCATGTTTGTAGAGGTAAAAGGTGACGAGTCCTACTCAAATTTATAATCTCAGCCTCCGTTTTTTTTCTCAGAATTCTATGTCGACAAAATCAGTATCTTCAAAAACAGTTTGCTTACCCGATGAATAATCAGCAGCATATGGTACCAGCTGGCGGGCACTTTGAATTACAGCAGCTGGATCGACAGGCTCCCTTTGTATTGTTGACAAGAAATCTAATTTCGCTAGACAATATTCCAACTGTCTTGCTTGATCACCTAGTTGTTCACGATTATCTTTTAACCATCTACAAAAATAAGTGAATAATGGATGTGTTAAAAGTAACCTTTACAAACAGTAATTATCCATTTTATAACCTCAAGGAACAGTGATTTATAATAATTTAAAACAATATATTAGCATAATACACAAATTTATTTTCTTCAAATATTACCTAATTTGAAGTTAATTGGTGGATACTGATTAGCGGTGCGCATTTCGTCCCATTCGGGACTCGTCAGCCACTGGATGTACCTGCATTCCCAAGTCAGTGAGTGATGATGTTTACACCGAGGCTTGAACCCAGTGCCTATAGTTTCAAACGCCAAAGCGTTATCTACTAGACCACTTGGGCCACGCGAGCCACTGCTTCTTGTGCAACGGGTTATATTAATTATTTAATTGAATTTAAGATTTTCTCGTCGATTTATTGGACCGAAGTGCTGCAAGTACATCCAGTAGCTGACGAGTCCCAAATCGAGTACGAAATATAGTGAATCCTAGTGGATTCCACTGCTAGTCACCATCCACCAATTTAATTTCAAATTACATGTCCAGACATCGTCGAAGCATCTCTGCACAAAAAACCGACAGGTCAACCTGAGACCGAGCACTTTAGGGTCTAATCAATCGACGGGAAAGTCTAAAATTGAATTGAAAATTACCTAATTTGGTTAATTTCCGCCATAAATGACCAGGCACAGCCGAGAGTGGACAGACTCCGGTCTCACTCTGGAAATGCTTTTTTGTGTAGCCACGCATTTATAACTTCGGCCAGCTAGGCCCTATTCACTGCCTTTACCTGGCGGAAGGAGAATGCGGACGTCTGGCGCTTACAACCGGACTACTAGTGATCATGCAGGTTTACCTAGGGGAACTGAAAAACCATGATTCGAAATGTACGGCGTACATGGGCTCCAGAATCTGAAACATGTATCAAATCAACTGGAAATACGTGCAACAGAAATGATTCAACGCCCATCCACACGGATATCTGGAAAATTCTACTACCTCCCCCCCCCCTAAGATCGATAGAAAGGAATAAAGAAAACTACAAAACGAAAGTTCCGAAGTTGTGTAGTTACAACTACTGATATAATTATGAACGATCATACAATGTGTTTGAAAGATTGCCATCACTATGTGATATATCTATCGAACAAATTAATATGGAATAAATTGCCATTTCAAGAATGAAGTATTATGACACAAACTTGTTGCTCAGACTACATTAATTAATGTTTGAGCCTAGTAAACATTTGAAGTAATTTAGTAGGTGATGACTAGCAGTGGAATCCACCACTGCATGCACCATATTTCATCCTCTATTTGGGACTGGTCAGCTACTGGATGTACATGCATTCTCCAGTGAATGACGATGCTGTTCCCACAGAGACTCACTCGAACCCGGTACCCACCGTTTCAAACGCCAAAGCTGGATGTCTACTAAGATATCCAGTCAGGCACCATCGTTTCAACTGCAGGCAGTTGGCACGGACGAGAATCTCAAAACCATTCAAGATAGGAAAGGCAAGACAGATCTTCATCAATTCTGAAATCAATTTGGAAATCTTCTGCACACAGTCAGCACAAGAAACAAATTTCGGATTTTTAGCAGGAATGTTAATTCAGTCACTTGTTCTAAGTAGATCAGAAACTTCTCCAGAGAAGCGTTTCCGACAGGCAAGTGTAGACTATTACCAACAACTGCCGCCGTCACTGACTCCAACATTGAGGATCACATGGCTTACCAGTTAGGAAGAATAAATAAAAAGAAACTCTGAGAACGAACTGACTAAGAACCAACACTTGGTAATTAAGCTGATGCTCACTAGTGACTGGGCATATACAGGAAGTACCTGGGATTCCAGTGAGGAGTCGCAACCAGCAGGGTCAACCAAGTCGGCAACAGGAGTGTTACTCACCCGTGACATTGCCTGTTTGTCTGCCTATCTGTTTTCAACATAGAACTTTGTACCACTGTGCAGCAGTTCGAGTCGCCACACTCCCTTCTTGTACCACACAAAGCAAGAAAAGACAATCAAAAGAAATGCAAAATAGAGACAGTAGACAGGGCTAAGAGACAAGAAGAATAGTAATAACGAAGAACAATATAGTTTTACTGGATAAGTCACAAGAAGTGGATATATCTGCGCCATCCTTGACAACGATTTTAAGCCATATCTGTCAGTCTGTCTATCTGTTTTCGACATAAAACTTTGCATATATATTTGGCAGTTCAAGTCGCCACACTCTATGTACCACACAAAGCAAGAGAAGAAAGTAGAAGAAATGCATAACACAGACATTAAACAGAGGTGTGAGACAAAGGGATAGTGATAACAAAGAACAATATAGTTTCATTGGAAATAAGTCACAAGGAGTGGATGCATCTGCGCCAGCCATTGAGAAACGATAGTTTCCAGCCTCGGTTTTTGCCGTCCCGAGGACCCCAACCAGGAAGTCTACATCTTCCTACGTGGCTTAAACTAACTGTTGTGGATTTCATTGACTGATACCACATTTTGGTTTGACCACCACTAGTTCTTTTGCAGCCTGACCCTATGTCAGCTAACATTGACCGTCGAGGAAGGCGATGGCTAGGCTGGGCATACGTAACACATGTCCTAACCATCTCAGTAGATGTAGCTTCACAGCCCCATCGATTGATTGGCTGGCGGTTGCTCTAAACATATACCACAAAATGACAGAAGTCAGAATATTCATGGACCATTGATCCAGGGTCCCAGTGGTTTAATGCTCTACCAGCTCGCCTCGTAACTTGGATGTCCTAGGTAAAAACCCCAGTGGGTGCGCACTGACGAAGAATCCTAAACTAGACTGACAAAACGGTTGTCCAGTACTGGAAAAACGAAATTCATTAGATCAAGTTTACATTCTTTTAAAAGAGGATAATACACACACACACAATGGTACTTACCTTCTACCAGGATCTAATTCGCCTTTTTGAGTACATGAAACTAAATTACTAAGCTCTTTAAATTTCTCTAATCTTATTTCTTCTTCTGTGAAACCGAAGTTCTGTAAAATATAAACAAACTATTGATTAATATTGTTTACACTTGGTAAAAACGAAATAGTAAAAACTGAAGACTGATACTTACCAATACTGGGCTACGTCCACAAAGAAATAGTGGGCAATTTCAATATCGAAAATGTAACAATAAGCCTTCCTAACTGTACGTCTGATGTAACTAGTTCCCCAAGTGAAATCAGACTGGTAGATACACATAGAGGAGGCGGAATTAGGTAGTTTATTCTTGTTTGTCGAATATAAAATCGGTGTGTTTGTCAAGAGACAGAGTATCTCTGCTGTATTGAGTGTTCTTTTAACTGCATTCTTTAGGTACTGTGTTATCATTTCACTGATGTTACCACTGAGGACAGTTACGGAGAGTTTTACGGACAATGGCTGTGCTTTTGAAGCTGTTGCCCTACTGGTTTGCTTTGGTGCTAAAATTCATATTTTTCATAATAAACTTATCTGGATAACTATTTTTACTAAGTAAACATCCGATAATAACCTTAAGCTCCCTCATTGAGAGTCGTGTGAGCAGATTATCCTGCAGGACCAACCACACTGGGTGTAAAATTAGGCAAGTTCATCTTCGTATTTTCAAAGATCATCCAGCATTGTTAAGCAAAGGACAAACAAGATTTATTCGTAGCTGAGTTATAGCACACTGGCAGACAGTGAGCATAAAGCTAATGTTAATACGGCATTCAAAGTTATTTATCGCATTCCAACTAATCCTAATTCTGCTTTACGAGTTCGTCTTCTACATATCCAGTTGAAGCCATAGGAATCCGCCTGAAGAAGCTAAACCTACGTGTTTAGAAGAAATTCGTATAACCACTTTCTCTTTACCTTGGCTATCATCGTGACATGAATTTTAGTTTTACTATAATTCATGTAATATGGCCTTTTAAACTCACACTAAGAAAGAATACAGCTGACTTGGTGCTTAAACAAAATTTTGCTTAAATAAGTGTGCAATTATGCAAAAACAAGGAAGCCAGTAAGTCACACGAAGAGTCATAGGATTTGGAATGGAAAATCTAAACAGCTGATTTCAAGTGGGCACATTTACTTAATTTCTAATAATTATATTACAGAAGTTTGGCAAGTACCTATTGTTGGATGATACGATTACACAACAGGTAGTATACAGAGATAGTCGACATATCAGTGAATTTTGTATTAGTATTGTTTGCTGATTATAACTCATATGCAAACTTCCAAAGGACTCTAAGTTCTCCTTTTATTTTGAGGTTTGTATTTCTCAATGAATGAAAAACCACATAAGCTTAAGACCAGGAAGAGGGTGTACTGATCACATATATTCAACCTTCGACAGGTTCTGGAACATAGGCATACTTACCAGCATCCAGTAATTATCATATTTCTTCACCTCAAGGAGGCTTTCAACTCAATCGACTGAGAGGTACTGTGGAAATGTTTCGCCATGAAGGGACTACCGAGAAAGTGTATTACATTAATCAAACCACTCTTCTCGAACTATGCAACCAGGTAAGAGCTTACGAAGAGTTGTCACCTGAAATCGTGACAAATAGTGGTGTCCGTCGAGAATTTCTATTGTCTAAATTTTCGTTTAAATTCATCATAGGTGTCCTGATAGAAATGACCCTAACTGACTTCAGCGATTGAGGGATTGACTTGTTACCACCAGGGAATAATCGTGTTGACTGTGAACAAGCGGATGATATTGTTCTCCTGAGTGAAGACGCTGAACACCTTGAGGAGGAATCTTAGAATGTTTGGAATGCAATTTGTTCCTGTCAAATGTCAGACCATACTGCAGAGTTCAAATATACTCACTTCTAGAGCTGAAACACAAAGAGTAGAGTAGTTAGTGGAGCGTGTTGACAGCTTTACTTATTTGAGAAGTTGCACCAACCCTAGTGGACTGATTGCTGCTGACGAAATCTCAGCACGGATACAAAAAAAAATTAGTTGGATAAGGGCATTGAGATAAGCATTCACTTTTTAGACTGTACTCTTATTTAATGGAGCCGATCCCCTTTGATTATTTGGGATAAATAAAAAGGGAGAACATCTTCGCAGGTGAGATAATACTAACTCGTTTTACTTTTTCTTTGGATTCTCTTCAACTGTGTACATCCTAAACAAAATTATTTATAATTTACAAAACTCCTGAATATAATTCTAGAAATGATGTGAGTTGATGAATTATTCAGTGTTAAAAGGGTAACTATTTATAGAATAATCAGACAGCGCGGGAGAGTGGGGGGGAGGGGCTGCAGTTCGGATTTCGCTTAGAAATAAGGATGGCCTAGAAATAGATTACAAGATAGAACATCACAGTGAATTTATACTTTGATTGGAAACTAGCTACTAACTAGTATAATGTGTCTAGTGACTGATTTGTGTCAGTCAAGTTTGCAATCTAAGAAGTCGACTTCCTACCGACTGCCTCCAACCACCACCTAATATCAGAGTGAATTTATACGCATTACACGATTGAGAGTTTACGAAGGTGGGAGTGAGCAGTAAAGTAAAATTATTAGGTAAACAAAACAATTAAGTAGATTTGTAAACTTGATAGTGAGTTCATCTCAGTCAGTGGAAATCAGCATCAGAATTAAGTGGAATGTTGTTACTCAACAGAGCAAAATACAAAAGCATACGGACAAAACAATTACGTTTTATTTTTACGAGTTGATCACGGATTGATATCAGTTAGAGAACCATTGAAAACCAGAGAGTATTGAACAGCTGTTTCATCCTAGTTTGGGAATCATCGGAAGTACGTACCCACCACTAGGGTTCGAACCCAGGACCTTCAGGTTACAAGGCAATCTCGTATGCCATTCAGCAGTGGGTGGAGATGTGCTGTTGAAGTCCTCCCCCCCCTATGTTTCACTCGGAAGCCAAGGGAAAAATAATAAAAACAATAATAATAATACTTACGTGCATTAAATCTACAGCTAAAGACTGATGTCCTTCACGAAGTAAATGTTCTATGATAACTAGACGTAAAAGATCATCTGGAGACTTATTTGCCAATGCATTTTCGCTCAATATTGACGGTGTGTTCAACAAAGCTTTTCCTGTCGACTTAGATATTTGACTATCTTTCTTTTCTCGATTTGTAAAGTAGGTAGTCAGATGAGAAAGATCATCTACAAAACTCTAAAAGGAAATGATAATAATCAACAAAATCTAAGAAATGCTTACCTTATCTACAAGTTTTCCAAACTTTGAAATCGGTAAGTGAATATCACGATGGGATTTTATATAATCGGATAATTTTGTCCTTGCACTCGCTATAAACTGTTCAGTGTGCTTTTTAACATCGACACAATTATCAGCTAAAAATAATGAAATATGTATAATATATACATATATGAATGCATACTACTTAAATACACCTTGACATAATAACACATGATGCTGTATAAAAGTAATAAATGTGAATTTTATTTTTTATTTTTTTTTATTTTATTTTTTTTTTTTGATCACAGCTTGATTCCACACCGTAGTTTTGGTACAAGTGTGGAATTTTCAGCGTGGATATCGGTAGCCCAAAATTCACAGGCCGACCATAGATATCTGGTGTGCGTCGGCGTGGGCTCGAACCCCGGACCATGTGCACGGCCGGCAAGAGTCCTAACCACTATGCCACCGACGCACATGAAAATGAAAAGCACCACCCGAGCCTTTTTTTAAGAGCGCCTCAATCCACCAATCAAATGTGGCTAGTGTGATTATCTACCTAACAAATGAGCTAAGTAATATATAGTGCAAAAGAAACACGCTGGAGAAAGAGTCCAACTTCAAAATATCCTTTCTTGACGTTCAACTAACAAGACGAGGACAAGATGGAAACACTGAAAACATCTATCTACAGAAAGTCGACGTGGAACGGATAGCCTATTAACTTTCATAGTTGGGTACCCCTTTACACCAAACAAAACCTGACCCGTTTACTCAGCTACAGAGTTCGCAGAATTTGCACCCCGGACACCATAGAAGATGAACTGGACAGTCTCAAGAGAATCCTCGTCGAGAATTGTTATCCAGAAAGATTTATTGCAAAATCTATGAATCCTAGACCACAAAAGACGCCCATGATCAGCGTCCCGAAAGAACTACTCTACATGAACCTTCAATTCAATGGAGATATATCTGCGGAAACACTAAAAAAATCGACTGTCGGGCTCACTTGAGATCTTCTTCACAGCTGAACTACGACTAACCTTCTCCTCAAAACCTATGATTCATGTGAACGTGAAGGATAAGCTACCACTGCTGGCCTCATCAATGTGTATTTATCAATTCACCTGCTCCACCTGTGGAGCCAGGTATGTCGGCCGTACCCAGTGTTCGCTTTCCAAACGTATCACCGAACACTTACCAACATGGTTTTACAAAGGGGGAAAAACGATGTCCCCGCAGCTCCATTTTAGAACATCTGATAGAATCTGGACAATAAGCTACACCGCAAAAAAACTTCAAAGTCGTCTACAGAATACAAAGTAGTCTTCCTAAAGGTGTACGAATCAGACTTCTTCAAACTGCAGAAGTAATGGCAATTCACTTGCTAAACCCTGAACTCTGCATACAGAAGAAGTTCGTTCAATCACTAGACTTGCAATGGATTTAATCTATCTTATTACCCAACAAGCAAATTCTACCTAATCTTTTTTTTCTGTCTCTTCATTAGCATTATTTTGTCTTTTCAATTGTAATATTTTACATTTTCGACTTTCCTGTTCACCGCCCCCCACCCGATTTAATTTCTACACCTCACTACCACTGTCATTGACATGACCAACGCTCAATTTCTAGTCACTTTTGCTGCGTTATCCAATTTATTTGCTCAACTTCAGTCCTAATTTAAATGGCATTATTCTCTACCCCACCTCTATTTAGTCTCTAACTCCGATTACCTCTGTTGCTACCCTGACCTAAGTTGAAACATTTTATTCACTTATATGACGTCATCTAACTAACTTACTGACTAACTCAATCTTACTTTAGTTGCTGTCTGATTAACCTTGTTTCTATATTAGATCATTCTTGTATTACCTGATCAATTATCTAAACTTGACAAACCTCATGTACACAACCAAATAACTGTATACAAATGCGATTGTACAGCTATGTGAATGAATTCGCCGGCCGGTCTCTTTGTTGAACGTCTTCTCTCTCTCATAAGACGAAAATTGTAAGTGTAGAAAACTTGACCACTGTAGTGGGACGTAATTTTATATTGGATAGGTTTACTTCACATATCATACAGTAATAACATTATTTATTTGTTTATTTATTTAAACGCAGAAAAAACTTGGTACAATATAGCACCAAGAAAGATGCGCCACACATATTTCATTCATTGTGTGAGGGCTGAGATACTCCCCGGGCGCCCAGACCGAAGTAGGTGGTTTTATTAAGGGACCACCCCCCGAGCCTTTGACTTGGAGTCTAATCCGCAAGGCAGCGGAGCAGCGTCAGGAGCTGCATTCCCATGGTTGCCGGTGACCCATATGGGTTCATACGCCATTTGATCCGATTGGATACTGGAGCCCATATATTCCATGGTAACTGCTTTTAGTCTAACCGCTATCCAAATAACCTTCCTGACATGGTAGGACCTGCAGGGACATGAATCCCAGGCAGTTTAGCTTCTTGGGTCACTACGGTATTCAAGCCCGACCACCACGGCAAGGTAGCAGTTATCGGCCGGAATAGCACTAATAACTGGATGACGTTCCGAGCATATATTATTAATTTCATATATATACATATATGAAATTAATAGAGTTAAAATGTAAGAAAATAGACTTAGGTCAAATTGCAAGGATATATTGAAGATCAAAATAACAATGAAGATCCCTAAACCAAATAAAATAAGGGAAGTAATAGTACATCTACCCTGGTTGGTATCAAAACAAAATTTACCAAAGAAGGTAGGTTTAGTGTGGTAACGAATTGTTGCTTTGAATGAATAAAGGTGGTTTAAACTTCTTAATTGCCAGCTAGGGCTTCCAAAAATTTTAGGATACACCCCCTCCACCAAACACGTTTTATAGATAGGTTTAAAAGACGTGTAAACATCAGTTGCATGTTCTGTCTCTGTAGTATGTATTTACCAATTTGAATGTATGTTTGGTCACATAAACATAGGAAGTACTCATCGATCTCTGCAAGTAAGGGTTGGCTTCGGAGGACATTTCTAAATAGCTTCAGAAGCGAATGGAATCCCCAGAACCCAATAATGTTGAGAACAGGCAATCCAGTTACTCTACTGCTTTCAACTACCAACTGTTGTGCATTTATTTCTACGAGGAGGCACAGAAGAAATATTATCGATTAGTTTTCACTTCACGTCAGTCAGTAATATGGCAAGCGACTTAATGTCACTGACTGACTGACTGACTGACTGACTGACTGACTGACTGACTGACTGAGACTGACTGACTGCTGACTGACTGAGACTGATGACGACTGACTGACTGGTTCCAACGTAGAACTTTATTCCAATATGCATCAGTTAGAGTTGCCACACTCCATGTACCACACAAAGCAAGAGAAGAGAGTATAATATGAGGCAAAAAGAATAGTAATATGGAAGAACATCACCGTTTTATTGGATATTATAAGTCACAAGGAGTGAATGCGTCTGCGCCAGCCAGCCATTGAGAACGATTTTGAGCCATATCACCAATTGTTTCCAGCCTTCATTGGTTTTTACCGTCCCGAGGACCCCAACGAGCCAGGAAGTCTACACCTTCCTACGTGGCTTAAACTAACTGTTGTGGATTTCATTGACTGGTTCTATGTTTTGGTTTGACCACCACTAGTTCTTTTCCAGCCTGACCCTATATCAGCTAACATTGCCCGTCAGTCGAGGAAGGCGATGACTTGGCATATATAACACATCTCATAACCATCTCAGTCGATGTAGCTTCACAGCCTCGTCGATTGATTTCCCCTCCTTACCTAGAACTCGACTGACGCCTAACCTGAATATTGCTCACCTTAGTATGCCACTTCACACGGGAGATAGAGCACGAAGGCGCCTATGATCAAAGACAACTAGTCAGGCTTTTCATGTCTTCCACTTTCAATGGCCAGGTCTCGCTCACAGCTAGTCATAAAGGAGGACGAATCGGACTGATGAGCAGTACACCCCCCTTTAGTTGATAGTCAACTAGATATCACGTCTACGCGAGAATGGCGTAAACTGACATATGCGAAACTAGCCCTTTATATCCGTGTTGAGATTTCGTCAGATATCAACCCGCTGGGGCTGATGATACTTCCCAAATAAATGAAGCAGTCAACACGCTTCCATTTATAAGATACAAATCAATAGATATCTCTAAATATCTTTCTTATTAAAATATACCATTGTCTTTTGTGTTGGTGGTCAAACCAAAACATAGAACCAGTCAATGAAATCCACAACAGTTAGTTTAAGCCACGTAGGAAGGTGTAGACTTCCTGGCTCGTTGGGGTCCTCGGGACGGTAAAAACCAATGAAGGCTGGAAACAATTGGTGATATGGCTCAAAATCGTTCTCAATGGCTGGCTGGCGCAGACGCATCCACTCCTTGTGACTTATGATTTCCAATGAAACTGTTTTGTTCTTCGTTATTACTATTCCTTTGTCTCACACCTCTGTTTACTGTCTCTATTATGCATTTCTTCTACTTTCTTCTCTTGCTTTGTGTGGTACATGGAGTGTGGCGACCTGAACTGTCGCACATATGTGCAAAGTTCTATATCGAAAACAGACACACAGACAAATGGATGGTACCTGAATAGGAGTCCCTCAAACAACAAAGTATATTATTGAGTAACGAAAATAATTTATCACTCGTCTAGAAATGAAATTAGATGACCAATCATTCTGATTTCAACGCTGCTCCAATTAATTATATCCGGGTGACATAATGAACTCCGACACATTAAGTGTCACTGACTGATTTTCGACATAGAACTTTGCAAAGAAGTACAGCGATTCGAGCTGCCACACTCCACTTACCACACAAAGAAAGGTAAAAGGGAGAAAAAAGAAATTTAAGACGAAAATAAGAGATGTGGGGGTTTTATTGGATATGTCAAATCACAAACAATGAATGTATCTTCGCCCATGACAATAACTTTGAGCAACATCACCCACTATCTCTAGCCATTGGTTTACGGCATCTCGACAACCCCAACCAGGTAGTTAATCTACACTTCCCTACCTGGATTGACTCCGTACTTTTGTTTGACTACCACTGGCTCTTTCCCAACCTGATCCTATATCAGCTAACATTGTCCATCGAGGAAGACGATGGTTAGACATGCGTAACACATGTCCTAACCATTTCAATCAGTGTAACTTCACAACCTCGTCGATAGACTTAACCTCTTTACCTAACATTCTACACCCAAACTCAGTATTAATCACCCGATTATACCACCTAACATGGGAAATAGAACGCAGACATCTGTTTCTAACATCATTGGAACAACACTAATTCCCGCAATGAACACATTATTAGTATTCACACGGTTACCCACTGCATTTTCCCTCACTCTATAAATTGCTTGATATGGCCAAGAAAATGTGTCCTCTATGCTTCTCCTTGAAAATCCCTCATGTGGTCACCAGTTTAAGGCGTATAAAAAGTCACTTCAATCAACTTTTCACATGGTAACAGGTAGGGTGAATGTGATTACCCGGTGTCCACTATCAGATTGCTAAATAGAGACGACTCACCTAAGAGAAAACCCTCAATGTAAACCATACTGTTCAGGTGGAAGTAGTCGATAAAGGCTAGTAAAAACAAATGAACCGATTAAGTAATGCTAGACTGTGAGGGAAGTAAATGAGACACGTTTTTAATGAAGATGTGATAAGATTAAGGGATGATAAGAAATGGGTTGAATATATAAACAAGGGGTGGTGTAGAAGTCATTAGTTGGTTATGTCTTAATAGGCCAAGGAAGGGATAATAGCTGTACGAACTTCTTTTGAATACATAGTTTAGGTTTGATAGTTCTAATGCCTATCGACTCAGCTGTGTGTAGTAGACGAATACGAAGTCTATTAGAAAGATCCGGTGGGATACGATGAATTACTTTGAAGGCTCTCGTTTTCTCTACTACATTTATATTCAAGTATTGGTTTGCAGGGATTTGGTTGATTGGTTACAGGATTTTATTGCTTAACAGCAGTTACATCTTACCTGTGAGCTTGTTAAGCTGCTCTTTAAAATATTCTATTCAACTTTTTAGTTCTATTTCGTGAGAAATTATTAGAGTTGTACCTTCCTGAGAGATTACCATATCCTTTCTAGACCCTATTATCCGCAGGAGTTTAAACAATCAGAGAGTACTATCCATTAGTGATGCCGTTTTACTTCCTTTACTCCATTTACCCACTGTTTCCCACAATCGCTATGACAACTTTCACCTAGCTCCTGAATTTACTTTGCCACTCCGGGTGTAATTTCGTAAGGCAAATGTCTGCTCTGTTTCCGGCACCTAGACGAAATGACAACAGGATTTTCCAAGCAGTGCTTCATAAATTATCATTTGTCTAGTAGGGAGAAGTACTAAGAGGGGATCTACACGAGGACTCTGTTGTTTATGCATACCTACTTTTATACAATAAAAATCAGTGATCAGTAGTGTGAAAATTACTTTGCTAAGAATCGACCGAAACCTCAGATTTCCAGGTAAGGATGATGCAGGTTGGATAGTTGATTCTACCTCCTTAAATATCGCTGTAAAGAAAATGTCTAGGATAGTTATGCACTAGTGAATATTTAAGTCACAGTTAAAAATCCAGTGGGACTGCAAATTAAGTGATTTATGGCACAAAACATTCAAACATTGGAAACTACAATTACTATCTTTCCAGGATTTCCCCAATTACGTTTTGCAGAAAATATGCAATGCAAAAGACCCGTGTGATGCTACTCAACAGCAAAAAAGCAAGAAAACTTTAGGCTGGTGAATGCAAAGCTCGTACAGCTTTACTAATTTTACACATAACACTATGCTTGAGTTCGCTGGCAAAACCGACGTACAAATTAGTTCCTGAAGCATGTAAAAACATTTTTACTGAGTCATTACAGACAGAAACTATATTTTTATGTGCAAGTATACTCCAGAAGTCAACTTATGCTGCATAGTTTACTTCATCTAACAGTGAATACTGCAGTATTCATGCAGTGTGTCATGTATGCATGACGCTGTGATTGTTCTAATGGTATATATTCATATATGTATACAGAATTAAACGCTAAAAACTGCATTTGCTTATGATATGTAATAAGTTCCTAAATATGCCTATTTAGGGAGAGAAATTGTTTGTTAAGAAAGTAACTGATAGACGAATTACAATCATAAGTACACTTACGATCTTGGAGCAACGCCTGGAGCGAATTAATCTCTGACTCCAAAGAGGTGAAAGTCTTATTTCTACATTCCTCAAAACCAACTAACTTCTCTTCTATTTTAGAAAGTTCTACATCGATCCCTTCTAACTTCGAGGAACAGTTGTCGCCCTTGTTAACCATTAAGAGGCGCAAGTTTTATCGAACGCGCTTGAGTTTCAGATTCAGATGATCCAATATCCAATATCCTGGATAAACCAGTGATTTCTTTGAGCTCGCTTTTTGATTGTGAGGTAGAGGTTCCAGATCTTCGGTGAGCTTCTGCGTAGTAAGTCCCGACACTCGACTGCTTTAGCTCTGGTAGACTCCGAGAGGATTGGTGCGGGGATTGGTCAAGATGTGGTTTGTAGTATGCAGTATGTTAGGACTGTATTGCTGCCGTGAATGGATTTTGACCTAACTCCCGTTGGTCATTCGGTGTAGTCATAAAAGCAGAATAGTAATAATAATAATAGGTTGTAGTGTAGATAATATGGGTTGAGATAAGTGGAATAATAAAGGTGACCTAAGGAAAAGATAGAGTGAGAGAAGGCAGAACAGGTCGTGGGGATTTAATTTGTACGCTTATCCATTGACAGTGCGGTTTTAAGTTTTATGAGGATAAGTCATTGAGACACAAGCCTTGCATTTCTGCATGATTGTCTAGCTTCCGCTTAAAAACCTCCACGGATGGCGCTGTAGTCACGGCCGCCGGTAAAGCGTTCCAGAGACGGCAAACACGAAGAGAAAACAAATGTGATCGCACTCGAGTCTTTGGTCTCTGGGTGTGCTATCCTTAGCGGGTTACCTCGTGGAAGCCTATAATCACTTAATGGCAGGATGCTTTTATTTGGGTGGGCCTGGTCATTTAAGATCTGGTAGACGGTGATGAGGTCTCCCCTGTGCCTACGGTAACTAAGTGTGAAAAGACCTCATAATAGGCTCTTGTGACCTGTGTTAATCCTCATAAAATATATATCTGTAGAGATCTAACTTCTCTTTCAAGCGTTCATCGATGGAGCTGATACTATTGAATCAGGCGAAAATTTCCAATCGTTGACCACTCTGTTAGAGAATCTAAATTCCCCACGTATTTTAATCTTCCTATGTTTTGAGCACCTTTTCGCATTGACCCCGCAAAAGTATTCAAGAAGGGGACAAAAACTCAGAAAAGTCAGTTCCTAAATCACCCTTAAGTATACGGTATGCTAAAATTAAGTCTCCTGCCCTCCTTGCATACGATAACGGGAAGAGATTTAAATGCTCCACCCTTTTGTCATAAAGAAGGTGTGGGATACCATTAATTGATTTGGTCCCTACCCTTTGTACTCTTTTTAAGGTGTGACCCTCCCTCTTGAAGCATGGACTAGCCACTTGTATGCAGTATTCTAGATGAAGCCTGACATGCTGAATAGAGTACTTTGAACATGGTCTGATCTAATTGTTTGGAAGCTCTTCGGAGTGCCCATAGCATTCTAAAAGCCTTGGCTGCGTCTGCATTGCAGTTTGCAGTTGTTTTCAAATCATTGCTGACAATGATTCCTAGGTCCTTCGGTCCGTTAACGTCAGGTAGTTCTGTGTCCCCTACAGAGCACGAGGTATAAGACTTCTGAACTAAGTGCATTACTGCGCTTTTCCTAAAATTAATTTCCAAATTCCACAGGTTCGACCACTTAGCTAATTTATCTAGATCACTTTGCAGGGCCAACCTATCATCGTTATTAATTACAGTTTTCCAGATCCTAATGTCGTCAGCAAATAATAATGAAGATGAAGTAAGAATCCCCGGTAGTTCATTGACGCATAACAAGAACAGCGAGGGGCCTAATACAGTTCCCTGAGGCACTTCACCAGATACTGTTTTCTACCCTGATCGTTTTTTATTACAGCTTGATTCCACACTGTATTTTTGGTACAAGTATAGAATTTTCAGCACGTACACCTTTAACTCTAACCTTCTGCCTTCTATCCGTTAGGTAGTCCCTAAACAACTCACATAGGCATTGCTCTAGTCCGAAACCTTTAAGTTTACTAAATGGGATACTTTATAGAATGCCTTACTAAAATCAATAAAAACCATGTCTACTGGAAGGTTTTTATCCCTGGCCTCAACTCAGTCTTTCCTAGCCAACAGTAGGTTTGTCAGGTAAGATCGTCGTGGTCGGAATCGATACTGTTGCACCTCCAGCAAGGCATGTTTTTCCACATGAGCTAATAGCTGATCCCTTATAATTGTTTCCAATATCTTTGCAATAATGCACGTCAGACTTACCGGCCTGTAGTTAGATACCAATCGCCTGTTTCTCTCTTTGAAGATAGGGCTTATAATGGCATTCTTCCAGTCCCTTGGTAACTTAATCTGGGTCAGCGACATTTGGAAAGTCTCCGTAAGTGAAATATACATTATACCTGTTAAGGAAATTAACAGTTTAGAATGAAGTCCATCGGGCCTAAGTGATTTACCTGGCTTCACTTTAGACAGTAGTTTGAGGACCGTTGTGTGCTCTACCGCAATTAAGGGCATCTGAGTGGCGATGGCAGTGACCTAGCCATATCCCTGGGTGGTACCATCGGACAAGAGGACGCCACAGAAGTATTCAGAGATGTTTTCAGCCTTTCCCTCTCCTGACCCAGCCACTTCTCCACTAATGCTTGTGAGTGACGGTACACCACTGCTAGTTTTAGTCTTACATTTAATATAGGAGTACAGCCTTTTTGGGTAATGAACACACCCCAGTACTAGCTGTCTCTCGGACCCTATACGACTCTTGATAATCGTGTACTTACAGAGATTTCGAATTTTGCGGTAGCCCTTCTGGAAATCTTCCCTCCCTGTCGTAATAAATTGGTCGCATAAGTTCTTCCTCCATTTAATAGCCTCTTTATTTCACTAGTAATCCAAAGTGGCTTATGCGATAGCTTTCGATGAGTATACCATGGCATAAAAGGTGAAGTGGCACGATCTAGTGTACTCCTAAATGCCGCCCAAGTTTCCTCGACAGTCCGACTCATATCAACTTACCAGTTAGCTACAGTTGTTGCGTTCTGGACCCCCGGTATATCCGCTTTACAAACGTTTGGACGAGCAGGTGACCTGTATGTGAGAGAATGAATCTTAAACTTAAAATTAATTAGTGCTTGGTCACTGTTACCAAGCGACGGAGGACACCTAACGTTACCGACGTCCTCCTTCTGGCGTGTTAGTACCAAGTCTAGTGTAGATGGGTGATACCGTGTTGGTGAATACATACGATGCACGAGTGCACGTTCAAGCACTGTTAATGTGAGCTCCCTGTGTTTTTAGATTCCTCTAAGTTCTAGATGGTGACACTGTAACTAGAGTCCGTAGACTTTGCAGTCTGGTTGGTTCTAACAACAGTCGAGACCTTGTTACTTAGCCTGATTGCTGTTCCTTTCCTACGTTTATTTAGCTTCTTGTCGGCAGCAACCAAGCGGAGTGGGGTTTTCCACTTTGTTTTCGCCGCGTCTAGAGGCCAGTCGTATATTGGACACGCCGAGCTTTGGCGTGACCGTTTCACCAGCCGGTATTACCACACTGGCACTACTTGCTTTTTGGATTTTCTCAGTTGTTTGCACGTTGCCGCAGCACATTTTCGGGCACTCTGTGCCTCTTTTGTATCAGACACTTCAGGATGTTATACAGTCTAAGCTTTATTATTAAGTCCTGAATCGCCTTTTCGGCAATGATTTCTGATGCAGGCTTTTCGACCAGGTTGTTCAACAATTTCTTGGACATAAGAAGTCTTACTGCCTCTTGCATGAGGACATCCAACCGGCTACTTAAAAATTTGCGCACCCAAGTGGTAGATGGCTTGCAACATCTTTTATCGGCTACTGGTGATAAACCAGTGCAAACTTTGTGAAACCATAGGCTACAGTCGCCACACTGCATCTCATCATCCACCGGAAAGTGGCAGTCCGGTGGTCCGGAGTTGTTAGTCAAGCTCATAACTCTGTAATTTGTCTAAACTACACAAATATATATACTTAAAAACAGTGAGGTAAAACCCAAACACAACAAAATGTGAATAAAGTTAACAACACTTTGACCGGATAGATCAGTTAAAGTGCACCAAAAAGCTTCTGATGTGATTTAAACAACAAAAGCAGAAGTTAAATCACAACGTAAAAAATACCACTCTCCTTTTCCAGTTTCACTTATTTTAAATGGGCCTATTCAGTTAGCGCCTCTTGTCAGCCAAGTCTCATAAACTGTCAATGTACAGCTCTTACTACGCTGGACCTCACGCTGTCCCTCGAAGACTTTCAGAAACACTTTGTATTAACAAACGCGAAAACCAGAACACTGATCGACGACTCAAGAATCCTTTATTCATACGCCAACATATAACTAACAATAAGGTTATTACACAAGGTCTAGGAATAAATGTTATAACAATGAATCACGGTAATACTTCTGACAGTTTTTAATCTTCCTCTGAACAGCGAACGATGAAACGATGACTGGTGGATTGATGGCCCGCGAAAAATATGGAGGAGTTGGGTTTGTGCAAACAACCATGAAGTGATCGTTCAATATTCAACTACATTGTCAATGTACTTTCTTCGACTCTAACTCAATAACACCAGCATTGTAAGAATGAAATTATATTGTTTGGCAATGAAAGCCGAGAACAGCAAAAGTCTATAAACAAATATTTTAGACAAAATTATGGAGTACTTTTATTCGTTTTTGGTCGTCCCCTTCGAACTTGTACACTTGTACAATGCAGTGCTGGCTGGCGAGATTTTCACCGGGTTACCAGTGAACAGTAAAAGGAATCTGAACCTATCTAACTAGTGAATGCACCTCATCCGTTACTGGATAGATAGTCCCAGAAAGATGTCTACGCTACCAGGCTAAAACTAATAATTTTTTCTTTGGGGAAACAATCGATTTCCACAGGCATTAACGTGATCATTTCCAATAACTGTTAAGACTGAGGATAGGAATTCATAGTAAAAAATTAGAACGAACACTGATTTAAATAATGAAAGCAAGTAAACAATGAATAAAAACAAATAACAGGGAAAATGTCTGATAGAATGGACCTAATAGAATACGTTGTAAGAAATTTGATTTAATCAAAATTCAGGACTATAATATACCTATCGCTTGTCAAGTTCACCAGGAAGTTTTAAAGTTTTCCGTCTTTAGGAGGTAAGAAGCGGCCTGA